CTGCCCGGGACAGCTCAATCCAAGTCTCCCACGGGAGCTGCCAGGATCCCACCAGATCTGCCCTCACCGCTGCCATCCAGGGCTCACACCAACCACAAGCGGGAGTCGGGAGCTTGGGCCCTGTACACAACCCGGGCTGAAACCACAAGCCACAGACTGCATCAGGACTTTGGTTTAGGCCCCACTCTGCTGTTCTTTCCAAGTCACCAACAGTGAGCTGATGGTATACGGGACAGCAAGGACGTGAACTGATGCCCCATGCCCAGGCTGGCATAACAGGCAGTGACTTTATCCATTACACCACAACACCAGCTCTTATCATCTTAATTGCCAGGCCACGTGCCTGCCCCCAACTGATCTTTCAATGCTAGTTTCCATGAGTCTTTTTCAAGTATTCTTATGTGTTTATATCTGGTTAGTACATGTGCTGTAAGTGAAATGAAGCTCTATAATAACTACTAATAAACAAACAGTAAAATCAAAACCATTTCCAAGTACCTGAAGTTATCTGAAGTATTTTTAACACTTCCTCTTTTAGGCCACCAGACGTCGCTGTGAATTTTAAAATAGGGAATACAAGCACTTAGCCATTAGATGGCAGCCTTTTCATTTTGGGATTAATTAGAAACCGAATACAAAGCAATGTAGCTAGGGAGAAGGTCTTTACACTGGACTGCTTTCGATTTATCTGCATTTATCAGGAGAGATCTCTTCAACCACGTACCGGATGTGTAGACCTGGACCATTTCTAGCCAACATTTTCCAACTACGGCTGTCCCTTATCCACAGAAAGATGACACTTTCCAGCAGGGAGCAGTACACAGGGATACGGCTTTCATTACCACGCTCCAATCCTGCCATGCAGCAGCTCTCAGGGCTGTGGCAGCAGACTGGTCTTGGGCAGTGCCCCTGCTTAGCACAGCGCCGGCTCAGGGCAGACCCTTCTTTACCGACAAACACCGCTGCTTCTAAAGGCTGTGCCTTGGAAAAGCTCTCAGTGACTTCGGCCTCCCTCAGTCTCACTGCGGGCACAGGGAGATGAAGATGCGACACGAAGCAGTCCACATCCTCTTAAATTTAGTAAGGCCCATCAGGAAATAGTTTATTTCCTGAAATGCTTTATGTAGGCAATAATCCTCTTACTATTGCCGTAAGACTAAATTCATGTTCTAGAAACTAAAATAGCACAGTCTAGCTCATAAAGTCCAAATTCTCAAGCGTACAGTTTAATTTAAATAACCTAATTTAGTTGGCCTAATGAAAATTTGGATTGATTCATTCTTATGACTCTTCTAAATCAAAGACTATTCGTATTTTCGAATACCTTAAGATTGTACTACTCAGCTTATGACCTACGTTACCAAACACTGTGAGCATCAGCTGTGGGGTCCCCAGGGGAGTGGGAGCAGACTCCCATTTTTTGCAGAAACCTTAGTAAGTCCACCACTGACTACCTGCATGCCCCAACTCTCTCTCCAAACACGTGCTCTCACGCTACAGCACAGGAATCCAGCTTCTCCGCCACTAGAGCCTAAGCAGCTTTTGTACTGAACCCAACAGCTCGATGGGGCTTCTCCTCCATGAGAAATAAACAGCCACCGCAAAACCCGAGTGACAGCAATGGTAACGGTGGGAGAGGAGGCCCACAGCAACGTACCCAGAAAAACCTGTCAATTCATCAAAACTGGCCATTTTCTCATGTCAGTGAAAAAAATCAATTCAATTCCTCCTTTTCAAATTCCCTCAGCCCCCTCCTTTACTTCCCATCTTAGCTAACGTAGGAAGAGTTGGGTTCAAACCTTGCCTCTGCCAATCAGAAGCTGCGTGATGCTGGGAACATGACAACCTTCCTGAAGCCCAGCTTCCGGACCTGCAGACGGGAGGTGTCACCTGCTATACAGTTATTATAAAGCTGTCTAACACATCTGGAACAATGTCTAAGATGGGCATTACACTGGTTAAAAGCAAAGCTCAGGCAGCAGCAGTAGAAATCACCTTGTCTTGTGACAGGTTTCTTGTCTGAGTAATTCTTAATCTGCTGTAATTAATGATGACCAAACAGCAAACTCACTTTGAAAATCAAGGTTAGGACACAAGCGGCACCATGTGTCTACCACGATGCGCTTGAAGAACAATGTGTGGGGGCGCCGTGGCCAGCACCCCATGATGGAGTGCTGCCGGCTAGAACCGATACTGCACTGTGTATCTGGAAAAGCAGCACACCACTCCCAAGGACTTGGGTCCCCACCATCCATGCGGGAAACCGGGATTCTTTCACTCTGCCTTTAGCAAAAATAAATAAACTACATTAATGACTACATTTACTTAGAATTAAACAAAATGTGAGCAGCTCAAGAGATGCCCAAGAGGTTGCGTAGTAACCCCTCCCCCGCCTATCTTAGTGTCTCCCTCTTGACAGTTAATTCTTAAAGTCAAGCCACAACTCCACTGTCACCTGCTGTGTGGCACCTCATGTCTTTAACTTGAGAGCAAAACCCAAGACTTACAAATCTATACTGCCCTCAATTACTCCCAGATTTTTTAAAAAAGATTTATTTATTTATTGGAAAGTCAGACATACAGAGAGGAGGAGAGAGAGAGAGGAAGATCTTCCGTCTGATGATTCACTCCCCAAGTGAGCACAACAGCCCATGCTATGCCGATCCAAAGCCAGGAGCCAGGAACCTCTTCCAGGTCTCCCACACAGGTGCAGGGTCCCAAAGCTTTGGGCCGTCCTCGACTGCTTTCCCAGGCCACAAACAGGGAGCTGAATGGGAAGTGGAGCTGCCGGGATTAGAACCGGCGCCCATATGGGATCCAGGCGCATCCAAGGTGAGGACTTTAGCTGCTAGGCCATGCCGCCAGACCCTACTCCCAGATCCTCATCGGAGCCTGTTCCACTCTGGCTTCTCCTGCCTCCCACCTCCCCGTACACCTGCTCTCCCACCATGACTGCCACACTATCACGGTGGGTGACTCCCAGCAGCTTCTCCTTGAAACGTCCCCTCCACCTCTCCCTTCACTACTTCACCCCATCCTCTGACCTTCGGGCTTAGGACCCCGAGGTGCTCCTTCCCCACCCTTCTCTGCTCTCTGGTCACGAGGCCTGCCTGCTTTGAGCCCACACTGAGGAGTCTCTGGCACACAAAGTCGCAGTGTCTGTCCCTGCATCCTGAACCTCTACATCCAACCGCTGCCTGGGCGCTCCACCTGCCTCTGCACAGGCAGCTCAAGTTCCCAAGGCCGAGACTGAGCCCCCAGCCGTGTCATGCCCTCCAACACCTGCTTTTCTCCCTCGGGCCCCCATTTGTTTCCAATTGCTCAGGACAAAAATCTTTATTTTTTTGTTTAAGTTTATTTATTATGAAAGTCAAGAGTTAGAGAGAGAAACGGAGGAGGGAGAGAGAGATCTTTCACCTACTGGTTGATACCCAAGATGGTGACGATGGCCAGGGCTAGGTCAAGCCAAGGCTAGGAACCAGGAACATCATCTGGGTCTCCATGGGGGTAGCAGGGGCCCAAACACTTAGGCCATTTGCCATGGCTTTTCCCAAGCCATCAGCAGAGAGTTGGATCTGATACAGAGGAGCCAGGATACTAACTGGTGCCCACAGGGGATACTGTGACGTAGGCATGGCTTGACCTATTTTGCCAAAAGACAACCTCAACTTCTCTTTTTTCTCTCACTCTCATATCCAATTTATAACAAAGCTTTCAAAACATATCAAGAATCTCCTCTCATCAACTCCACTGTGCCACCCAGTCCAAACTAACATTAATTCCCATGAGTCCATAAGAAGCCAGGACCAGAGAACTCTGGCAGAGAGTCAACCATTCAAGGCGTATGGTGCTTCGGGTGGAGTACACATTTTGCGTTTTTGCATACATAGACCTCACCTGTATCCTCAGACACACATACATAAATACCTGCTCAGAACCCATACTCACTAATACATATGCATAACTAGGTCTTGGGGATTTTCTAAAAATATGTAAATATGTTAATAATACAAAATATTTTATATTTTTATATATGGACATGAATAGCACTGGAAGCCATTAAAATGTATTAATTTTTAAAATTTTTGGGGGGACCAAAGCCATGGCAGAGAAGGCCAAACCTCTGCCTGCACGGCCAGCATCTTATATGGGCACTAGTTCAAATCCTAGCTGCTCCACTTCCAATTCCCACTGCTCCCTACTTGTAGCTTGGGAAAGCAGCAGAGCCCACGTACTCAGCCCCTGCACCCATGCACGAGCCCCAGAAGAAGCTCCTGGCTCCCAGCTGTGGACCAGCCCAGCTCTGGCCGTGGTGGCCGTTTGAGGAGTGAAGCAGTGGATATAAAAGATATCTTTCTGTCCCTCTTTCTCTCTCTGTAACTCTCTCAAACAGAAAATTTAAATAAATATTGCACACAAAAAAGGTCCTTTTCCATTTATTTGAGCAGGAGGAGGGAGAGAGAGAGAACGTACTTGCATCTGCTGGCCTACAACAGCCATCACTGGGCCAGGTCCAACCCAGGAGCCAGAAACTCCCTCTGGGTTTCTTACCCAAGTGTCAGGGACCCAGGTACTTACACCATCTTCTGCTGCTCCCCAGAGCGCCCAGCAGGAGGAGGCTGCAGCAGAAGCTGAGGCAGGACTCAGTGCCAAGCACACTGATATGGGATGCAGGCAGTGGCTTCACCCACTACACCGCAATGCACACCCTCAATTATTAATTTTACTGAATGAATAGCTAATGTCAATTTGTACAGAACATTAGCTATGAATTACTCACTACTAAAGTATATTTGAAGACTTACCACTTCCAAAAACTTAATTAATTGATTGCCCGTGCATCACTAATGAGAACTTACCTGGTTATTAATGAGTTAGTTCTCGGCCATCACTGCCCAAGATGGTGACCAAACTATATGCAAACTGGAAAAGCCAGGGAAACAGACTGACGAGAGCAGAATAAACACACACGCAGCAAGCACAACACCGCTGGTACTTACACTGTGGACTCCCAGTGCTTTGCACACGGCAAAGCTGATCACACCAACCCCACACCACGCGTAGAGGGAGCCCCAGCCCAGAGCTCGCAGGGCCAGCGAAGAGCCGCTCTCCGGTAAGGCCGCCGTGGACACACTTCCCTGAAATGAAGTCAGAAAGGCTTGGCTGAAAGAATCCCCTCAGCAGGAACGCATCCCTGTGAGTGTGTGAACCGAGTCGTGTTCTCTGCATAAGCACCAGATCGCGGCAAGTGGGACCAGCACAGCCCGACGCGGCCGGCTGCTCCTGCTCCGCGCCTGGCGACTCAGGAAAACCCTTCCCGCCACTCAGGTTCCTCCATCCTCCACTCGATCACTCAGTGACTCTTTGACTAGAATGACATCACACGGGCTAGTTAATCTGATGAGAAATAGCAAATCTACAACGTCTCATTGCCCATCTGCAAACGCTCAAGTCGTTTCTTTCCCAGGATTATCTTGGTTGCTCTGCTCGCCCTGTAACTCCGGTCAGCTTTTCCTGCGCCTGCCTGGTTTTGGCGAATGCCGACCCGAGCCTCTCCTAGCACTGTGAGCACATTGAAGCACTCGCTACAGGCTGACTTACACCTCCTGGACACACATCTCAGAACCAACTAAACACCCTGAGCTTTTTCTTTACCATTTCCTACAGTGAAAACAAAACAGCACTGCATCTGATGCCATATCTCAGAACCAACTAAATCATCTAAACATCTTTTTCTTTGCCATTTTCTAGAATAAAAACAAAAATATCCTCTTAATCTAAATCCTTTCCCACGCTGCTGTAATTTCAAGTGGTTCCCTGGATACCACACATCGGACAAAAACGCTCTGACTTTTAACCGACCTGACTTTCCATCCAAAAGCAGTAACGTTACCCAAATATTATTAAACCAGTCCACCTAAGTACTTTGGCCTAAATTTCATTTTAGAAATTTCATTTGAGGACAGAAATCAGCCTACATGTAAGTAGTTTAAAGTCCACAGAAACCTACATTTCTTTTACTTCATCAAAGAAAACAGAAAACTCTGTAAGAAAACAACCCCGATGGCACAGCAGTATTCACAAAACGTTTTTACATGTTTTACTAACCTACCCACAGTGTCGGTCTCAGCTAGAGGAAGAGGAGTTACTGCCTGCACACTCCCAGCCATGACTTCTAGCAGAAGCCTGATGTTACAAACTGATCTGTCCTTATCGAGTTTTTGAGTGTACGTGGGCTGTCGGCACTGTCCCCGCAGCAGCTGTGGCATGCCGCTCGTCCCCACTTCCACAGTGAACGCACGCTAACCTGGTGCAGCAAGACTGATCTGCCAAACAAGGCTGCGCCACACAGGCTGGCTAGCCACAAGGAGGCCTCACCAAGTGTGCACAAAGTAATACTGAAAGACAATTTTGTAAGTTTTTTGGAAGTCCATGCATATTTTTCTCACACACATTTTCCACAAACTTTTTCAAGATGTGTGTGTGCACGTGTATGTGTGTAAAACTACATTCTGCAATTCACCATTATGCTTTTTTTTTAAAGATTTATTTATTTTTATTGGAAAGGTATATCGGATTTATAGAGAAGGGGAGACAGAGGAAAAGATCTTCCATCAGCTGGTTCACTCCCCAAATGGCTGCAACAGAGCCAAAGTCAGGAGCCAGGAGCCAGGAACTTCTTCCAGGTCTCCCACACGGGCGCAGGGTCCCAAGGCTTTGGCCACCCTCTGCTGCTTTGTGAGGTTCTAAGCAGGGATCTGGATGCAAAATGGAGTAACCAGGACTTGAACCAGTGCCCATACGGGATCCTGGTACTTGCAAGGTGAGGATTTAGCCATTGAACCATCAAGTCGGGCCCACCACTAAGTGCTTGATTCAAATAAATCAAGATATCTCGGTGGGTCTCAGGACGGGGCGTCTCATGCCTGGATCCCGGACAGCCGCCATGGGCACAGCCGCCATGTGCTGAGCTGTCCCCGGGCGGCCAGTGCGCCATTTGGTGCCAGGCTCTGCCTGCTGGCCGCCCGGCTGGGGAGCTCTGGGGATTTGGTTCTTTGAGTTGCTGCTTAATTCGCTCCAGGTTGAACCCATTGTGTTTCTTGGACCTGAAACAGGCAGTAACTCTTCCTTAGCAAAACTTTCAGTCACTAATAATTCTGAGCACCAAATAGCAGTCATGCAGAAGCTGGGGCTTGGGGCCTGTCCTGCAAAAGTAGCTCCAACAGTTGGCCAATGTGTCAACTGGTAATGGAACAGAGTAGATTAGGCACGACTGAACAAACCTTAGCCCACAAGTAAAACTAGAAACCAGGAGGGAGCAGAGGTCTTGCCGAGCTAGGTTCTTGTACCTGCTGGTCTGTTGGAGCCAGGGACGCTAAGCCACAGTGTCTAAGGCAGAGGTCGGGACAGGTGAGGAGCTGTGCCAAGCTGAGTCAGAGCATCCATTGGCAGGCAAGTGATCTATGGCTGGGAACAGACCCAGTTTGGGAGCAAAGGGGACAACCCTAGCTGGGCTGAGGTTCCCACCAAGAGGCACATGGCCTGGAAGGGGAGTTGCGTTCTGATCTGGAAACAGTTGTAGTCTCCCTTGGCACAAGTGTGGACTGGGATTGGATGCACCGAACCGGGCCGGACCCCGACTCCCCCTGGTGTTCTGGAGGACCAGGGCAGATGTGGGATGGACTAGGCAGGGTCTCAAACCCCTACTGAGCCATGTGTGAGCCATATGTGGGTATAGACAAACCATGGCTGGGCTGGAACATCCAACAGCAAGAACCAGATTGGGTGGAAGGCCAGTCAGGAAAAGCCACAGTTCCTGTTATTACAGGAGGTGGACTGAGTAAGGTTGGCTCATGGACCCACTGGTAAGCGTGAAACCTGGCATTGGGAGAGGTTCTGATGGAGGAGCCTGGGCAACTCCTCTGGCAGGACACAGACCCGGCAGGTAAACGCAAGAAACATGATAGGAAACAGCCCAGAAAAGGCCATGGAAAGCTACCCACTCGCATACAATTGGCAGATGTAGGGGCAAGACCAGGCTGAATCTGTCCACATCATCCACTGGCAAATCCAGGCACCAGTGTGGGTCGACCTAGGGTTGGTCGCAACAAAGACTAGTGCACATTATGGAATGCTGAGGTGAGGTGGCCTGTACCGGAAGGGACTGCAGCGCCCTACCAGCCTGAGAACAAGAAAGGAAGTGGGCAGAGCCGGCAGGGGAATAAGGGAGGGTTCCTTTGCAGGACAGCTACTTCCGCAGGAGAGCATGGGCTGGGATGGGGGCAGACCAGACTAGGCAGAGCTACCACACCTGTGGGCTTCGTGCGGACCAGATCAGGGAAAAGCCGGGCTGGGTGGATTATTCCTACTGGTGCAAACAAAATTAAAGTGGGCGAGGGTTGTTTGGGCTTAGATGCAGCATCAACTGGAATCTGGGAGTGGGAGAGGCCTGGGAGGGAAATAGTGGGCTCATCCCTCTTGGGTTACCACTTCCACAGGACATAAAACTAAGATAACTAAGATAGCGGCTGGGGTGGAATGGGGTGTGGGACAGACTGGATTACTGCTACACTTACTGGCAAACCAGGGTAGGGGGTGGGCCTGGTGGGGGTTATTGTGGGTCGCTCCAACCTAGGCTGCAGCTCCCGCTGGTTTATGTGAGGGCCAAGTATGTGCTGGGCAGAACTAGGCTGGACTGCAACACCCATTGGTTCCAGTGGAAGTCGGGAGTGAAAACAGAACCAACCCAGCAATTGCAACCACCAGCTGATTGGAGCGATGGACGGTGCCAGGCCCTGTACTTGTTAGCACATACAAGAAGTTTCTTTGGAGATCTTCCTAATCTAAATGCTGGACTCAAAACCCTAACGAAGAAAAGAGAGAAGACAGAACGGGTCAACCAACCATCTCAGCTATGATGGACTATGTCAATCAGTGGATTTTTCAAAGCCCTCATAGTGCTTGGAGTGGCAAGATTGACAGCGATTCATAACTGTTGCAATATCAAAACCACTTGAGCAAGAACCTCAGCGCATGCCCTACATCCGGGATCTGGGGAGGGTGGGAAAATGGGTGGGCCTTCTCCCTTAAATAACCCCCTTTAAACATGAAGGTAACAATATGGAAAACATACTAGTATTATCCACTTTCATGTAGCCCTTGAACCTTCTTACCCTAATTAACTATGTAAAGAATGTCAAAATAAAATTTTATAAAAATTAAAAAAAAAAAAGAAGAAAAAAAAAATCAATTACACATGTATCTACCTATATCAAAAAAAAAAATCAAGATATCTCTATATGGAAAATGAATTTAACAAATTACATTGCAACTACAGTATTTTGTATCCCCAAGACAAAGCATTTTCTAATAGCAAACTGTATTTAAGATATCTCTATGCCTGAAAGATGTGCCTTATCTACTTAGTTCTTGTAAGAATGAACTCATTACTCACCCAAGGAGGTACTATCAAGAGAGACCTGCTCAGGATACCCTACAAATATCATACAGTTTTGACTAATATATTTTTAGCCTTTGTTTGTCCAATCCTGGAATGAATTTTATGTAATTCAAAGGATATTTTGAAAAGAATGCTGTTATTTCCCTACAGTATATTCTCATCTAATACAGTATTTTGATGAAACACCACAGAAATAGTTGCTGTTTTTTTTTTATAACATGCAATATATTTTTAGAAAGACATAATTTCTGAGAAGTTAGGGCAACATGGGAAAAATGAATGCAGACTTTCTCCCTGTGTCTACCATTCCATAAGTAGTTCTTCATACAATGCAATATTATCTGATGATTTTTTGCTATGCCATAAAATTAAGGACATTAATTTACGTAAACTTTATATGTGTGTATGCAGTAACTCTGTATCTTCTATTGTTTAACCAAGTAGACATACCAACATATAATAAGCTTTTATTATTTTCAATTTTTAGAAAAGATTGAATTGATTTGGAAAGGCAGATTTAGAGAAAGAAGGAGAGACAGAACAAGTTTTTTCATCCATTGATTTCTCTTCCAATGGCCACAACAGCCATAATGAGCCAATCCAAAGCCAGAAGCTAGGAGCCTCTTCAGAATCTCCCATGCGAGTTCAGGGTCCTAAGGCCTTGGGTTGTCCTTGCGA